TATAAAATAAATTCTAGGAGAATGTGTGTGTAAATAAAATAAATTATTTTATATATATATAAAATATATATTCACACACACACACACACACATTCTTCTAGAATGCAAGACTCCACTATATATGTGTATTTATATATACATATAAATATAGTGGAGTCTTGCATTCTAGGAGAGTGTTAACTTCTAATATCAGCAAGTACTGCCATGAAAATCTTAGTTGAAATTACTAATATCAAAGACCATGAGACTATCCCTCAGTCTGACCAACACAATTATCTTTCTGGTGCTAGAAAAAACTGTTTCTTTAGTTAAACTAGAGTAATTGGGTTGCTTTTAGTTACCATGTTATATCGAATACAAGATGCCCACACTACTGAGAGGTAGGTATCTGGGAATTAAGACTCACTGACATAACAGCAGATTCTTCCTTTCCTTATTTTTCTAGGGTAGTTGCTCTCAAACTTCATTGGGCATCTGAATTACTTAAGTGGAAATGACAAGCAGAGTTATTTGTACTGGCCATTTCTTTCTCTTTTTGGGGGCCAAATTAACATACTTAAATTTGCGTAAATAAAATGTATGGTACGGTACAACTCTGCTGAACATTCATCCCTTCAGATAAAAGCCTGTAAATCTTGTTCTCTCGTAGCATCCAGACCTCACCATGGGCCAGAAGCGTTATCTGTACAACATTGCTAAGATTTATAATGCAAACTATCTGAGGATGTTAATGAAGAGGCAGTACATGCATATGATCGAGCATGGCTCTCAAAAGCCAAGCAGGTGCACCTCCAGCTAGTTTCTCACAAGTTGTCACAAGAAACAAGAGGGTCTCCTAACTAACAAGAGGTGATTTGTATGACAGGTATCCTCACTCACCACAGGAGCCACCTCAGCTCTCGTTACTCACAGAAACACCGTTACCCCTGCACAACATGGCGACACCAACTGGAGAGATACGACTTGGGGCCTTCAAATGTAGCTGCATCTGTACCTGAAATGATCATGCAGCATTCCCTTTGGCGACCAGTGAGAAACAAAGAAGGATCTGTTACTTATTGTTTAAAAGGAGAAAAATGTACCCCAATTTTAGTTGAAAGGTAGCTAAATGATATCAAAGCTCATATTCCCTAATATGTTTACTTGGTGCTAAGTTCAAAACAGGTTGTATAAAAAACACAAAAGGATGTTATCTTAATGCCTCTTTACTGAGCTAACTGGGATATGCCACTTCTTTTAGAGCTTATTTTGTAGAACTGTAAACATTTCTTGTTCAACTAGAGATATGGGAGACTGCCCTTTTCAGTGATTCCCACTCAAATTCAAAATAATACACTTCCAAAAGGAAAAGCACACGGTTGCTTTTGCACAGGACAATACTATATAAACAACAACAACAAAAAGAGAGAGGAAAAAAGAGATAAGCCTAAGTATTCAACCTTCACAATAGTTGGCTTTGCATTTCAGGATTAAGTCACAGGAGAATTCAGGGGCTAAAAGTGTTCCTTTGGCAGTTTAATAAAGAAAATTTGTATGGTCTTCCACATGTATTTGGCAGATGTTCACTTTGCCAGTTCCAGTTAAGATGCTTCTCTTTCTTATAGTTTAAAAACTGGATATATGTCTAAAACAAGATGTAAGTCGCTGAAGATTTTTAGAAAACCAGGTAGACTGTTCATGCAATCAGGTAAATGGAATTTTAGAAGTATGAAGTTTTAAAGATCTTATGGTTAAAAAATATTAAACCCAATAGTTTCATTTCTATTACAGAAGACATGAAAATTTAGAATGTGATTTGCCTTTATTGCTCTAAATAAAATTAAACATGAAATAATAGTTTCTGCTTTCATTCAAAAGAACACACTGCTCAGAGGAGTAAGAGCCAAGCTATTTGTAATTCTAAATAAAGGTATTTATAATATCAAGGTCAGAGACTTAACCAAGAATGAATTTGTCAAAACCCAGATTCACAAAAACATGATTTCTCAAGCCAGCTATAGCACCTCTTTTATGAGATACTGCCATTTTTTGATGGACAATGTATTTTGTATAGCATCAAATAGTTTACAAAGGGCTATATCACCGATATCATTTTAATATTCAACAAACCAGTGAAAGCAAGCCAACCAGGTGATATTATTAAAATTTTACAGAGCAACTCAAACAAATCTAGACTTGGAAAGAATTACAGAATACAAAAAAGGCAAGAGAGATCAAATGCTCAGGAGTACTCCTCAGAATGGATAAAGTGGAAAGGATTAAGTGGAAATTAAGTAATTTCCTACTTAATAGTGGGTAGGGAAGTGGAAAGGAAGTAAGGAAGTTAGGCTTTCTGAACCCATATCCTGTTGCTGTGTGATAGCACCACTCAGCTCTGCTTCAAATACCATATAATGCCTATCCAAGAAGTGAGGGAAATGGCAGGAAAGGAGATAGCTCTGGTTTCAAAGAACAGCTGGAGGAAACTCTAGGTAGGGGAAAGATCCCTGTGATCCCCAAAAGAGAGAAGGAACTTAAAGAAGATAGAGAATGCTGAAGCTCTAACTTCCCTCTAACTGAAAGATTTTAAAAAGCAAAGGGAAAATTGGACTCAGTGACACAGAATTTACTATACAATAACATGGCCAGAATACAGTACTGGGTATCATATTTTAAAGAGAGACATGAGAGAACAGGGAGTTACTAAATTTTGTAAATTGCAATGTTTTTGCTAAAATTTTTTTAATAAGGTAGGTCATTTTGAAGGTTCTTATATACAAATCTCAATTTTCAAGATGAAATATAATTTTATTTCAAAAACATTATAAACTTTTTTTATCTTCAGTTTCTACAAATGATTCTGAATCATACATTAATGAAGAAAAAAAGGAAGATTTACTAAATAAGTGTATGCAATCAATCTCAATTGAAGAATGGGGAGAAGAACATTTAATGTTAACTTGACAATCTTGTCTTGTAGATTGATGATGTGCCAAAGGTAGGAGAGGCAGTTGTGAATTGTGCCCTCTCTCTACATTTAGGATAGTATTGTTATTCGTCATTAAGTCATTAAGTAATTTTGGTTTGTTCAGAAACTTTTAAAACACTGTAATTGGTTTGATGTAGTTCCATGTACCAATATTTGTGTAATAGAGTCTATGTGTAATATATGCTTTTACTTCTAGCTAGATACAATTAAATTTTGTCACTTAAAATTGAATTTTTAATTTAAATCTGACAGACACATTCATCCTGTTTATAAGTCCTCAAACAGCAACATTAGAATATCTGACAAGTATTTTTTTGATTGGGCTGAGGAAAATTCTGAAGTATTCTAATACAGAATAGCATTTGATAGAGAGAACACCCGGCTTGCAAAGAAGGTGCTTAATAAATACTTGCTGCTTGAATACAACTTAAAAATGGAAATATCAGTTTGCCCTATTTTATGAAAATTGCCAAACACTTGTCCTCTCAAACTAGATTAAGTTGGGAGTAGTTGTATTAATGAGAGAATTCTTTACATTATATATTGTCTTGGGTACTTCCTTTCCATACGGCTATTACTTAGAAAATGAAATCTAAGTCCAACATTATGACCCAGAATGTTCTAAGAAATGAGAGAGCTCTGAAAGGTCATCTCATCTACCTTATCACTTTAATACTTGTCCACAGTTTCATTTGGTCTCTCATTTTTATGGTTTTTAAAAATTAAAACACAGTTTATCAAGAAAGTGTAAATGAAAAGTAACTGTTTATTACTGGAGAAGAGAAAAATGTATACAAGGAAGTCCAGATTCTTTTTCCTCATGCACTGCTTTTGTAATAAAGTTCCAAATATCAACTTTGAAGATATTTACAAGGATAAATTTTTCTTAACATGTGACCAAATGTGTGGTGGACATTTTTTCATAGAAATCATATACTTAAACTAAATAAATTCTTATAGTTTACAAGAAGCTTAGAACATCGTATTAACAGAAGATGATATATTTTACTGCAAAATATTATAAAAGTGATACAATTTTGTGGCTCTTAAATGTTTAATTACTTGATTTGAACAGGGGAATTAAAAAAAAAAAAAAAACAGAAAAATCAAGACAGGCCTGGCTTTAAGACTTTTTGTATTCGATTCGTTCTACTTTCACATCATCTCCAATTAGCTGATACACATAAGTGACAACTGTAGAAGCTTGGATATCCATCAACACAAATGAAGGAATAATATTTCTGGAAGAAAATAAATAATGTCAGTGTTTTGTACTAAAAAGCTGCAACACTATAAATTCCAATTTAAGATGACAATTTGGATTTAAGGAGAAATCTGGTTGTTACATATTAAAAAGAATAATCACCCAAAGAAGATGGCCAAAAGGCTATTATTTAAATGGTTGCATTTCTCTTGTATGAAATGTCACACATGCAATTATTAAATTTATAAAACCCCCCAAATTCCGAAATTGCATACTACTCACGTTTCCAAGGCATTATATGCGCCAGTGGCAGAACCTGGGTTAATGTAGAATTTATTTTCATGCTCAAATGCTTCAAATTTGTGTGTGTGTCCCGAGATAAGAATGTCCACGTCAAACTGCCTCTGCAACAGCGCTAAGCTGGCCATATCTCCCCATGGAATAACTTGATGTCCATGGATCAAACCAATTTTGAACTGCCCAACAGTCACAACTTTCTGTTCTGGATAATTCAGATTCTAAAATAAGAAAGAGACACAAGAAAAAATATGTTTTAGAGATACTGATTTTTAAAAAACAACCTGCTTAAATATTTGATCTCATGGATGTTTTGCTTCACTACCAACACATTTATTAAAATTTGATTTCTTCTCAGTCTCTAAGGCTGAGACTGTACTCAAAACAACTGGAATTTATCATGCAATCCCTTTATTGTGTTTATTTTTATAGAATATGGATGTTTTGGGGCATGCTGTAGGAAATAATTAATTCTCCCAAATTTGTGAGTTTCCTCTACCTAAAACCCTAGGCATATGACCTGTAAGCTAAGGTGTGTTTAAATTATACCTCAAGCTTTAACAGCTATAAAGATGGCTTAAAATAATGATAGTTAACATTTACATAGTACTTAGCATGAACCAGGCACTATTCCAATGGCTTTATAAATATCGACCTATCTCATATGAACAATCCTAAGAGGTAGGTTCTATTATGATCCCATTTTATAGATGATGAAACTGAGGCAGAGAGGTTAAAATAACCTGCTCAAGGTCACATGATAGTAAGTGGTTAAGCCAAGCTCAAACCCTGGTAGTATGGCTCCAGGGTCTGTGAATTTAGCAAATTAGAAGCAAAAAATTTTAATTCTTGCTACTGAAACTGTCTTTAGTATAACATAAACAGAACTCCTAATGTTTGTAACAAATCAGAACCATATTCTAATTATTGATAAGAAGTGTCTGTCCCTTCCCTTCTCATTCCTGTCTTTCACCTCTATGCCACCTCTAGTTTATCCAAACTCTTTTAAAAATCCACTTAAAAAAGACAGTATGCTCATTCAGTTTGGATTAAAGAAGCCCATTATAAAACACCAATAAAGTTAAATAATTTGTGAAAAAGCTTATATTTCCAGAGATACAACATCAACTTTTCATACTAGAATCAGCTTTATCATGCTAAATTATACAATGTTAGCACTCGCAGGGGTCTTAAAAATCATCTATTCCAATTATATTTACATAGGAGGAAACGAAGAGGATGTAATTTGCCTAAAATGTCAGTATTAACAGGCAAAGTTGGAACTCCAGAACTTCTCATTTTTTTCTTTTTTGAAGTCAGGTTTATTGAGGTATAATTTATATACAGTACGATTATCTTTTTTAGTGTACAATTCAAGGGGTTTTTGACAAATGCATATAGACATGTAAGCACCGCCACAATCAAGATATAGAACAGTTCTATCGCCTCCTCAGTATTTCCTTAGGGCCCTTTATAGTTAACCCTTGAGACAGAGAGCCACGGCAGGGTTTTCAGCAGAGCAGTGATGGGATCTTACTTCACCTAAAAAGGATCACTCCGGTTGCTACTTGGAGAACAAACTGTGTAACGAGGAAGGGGAGAATCAGGAAGTTGGAACAGAGGAAAGTACAAGCTGGAACAAGCTGGTAGAGGTGGTGGTGGTGAGAAGTTCGTAACAAAAACTTTCAAATGAAATAATAGTACTACAAAAAATAGTGACAAATCACTTTTACTCCATATCGATTTAGTAAGAATGAGTACTTAATATGTGTATTGAGCACTCTAAAATCAGTGATTTTCAAACAGGAAGGGGTATGTGTAGTAATTTTATACTTGGAAAAAAAAAGAAGTCAACAGTTGAGAAACTGATCTAAAGGATAAAACTTCATATGTGAAAATCAAGAAAAGGAAACATTGGGAAGGAAAGGGAAATACATCACCTCATCAAAGTCTCCTCTCACAATATGAACATCACCGGCCAGAGTCTTGAGATAGTCATAACTCTCTTTGGTGCAAAGATTTCCAGTGCAGAGAATGTGTTGAATCTTTCCTGGCACCAGCAGTTTTTTGAATTTAGCCGGCAAACTGTTGCACCGGTGCGGGATGTGCAGATCTCCTAATACCAACACCAACTTTAAAGTGTTAAGGTAAGACAAGGTATAATGTTAAACATGATGTCAAAACAAGATACTCTCCTCCAATAACTCCCCTTTTAAATTAAACTAATCAAAGATTCCAGAACACAAATGAGCAGAAGTTATTCATATAGTTCCTTATCATGACCATATATAAACACATATGGTAATAAATCAATCTTCTTTTAGTTTGGTCACAAACAAGTATGCATACACAATACAGATCATTCTATTTACCAAAAATAAACTCAAGCATTCTAAAGTGATTCATTTAGGGACCTATAAATTACAGTGAGTAAAAAAATTACAAAATGAAAAATACACTGCTGGGCCCTATGGAATTTGGCATTTTTGAAGACTGATATGGTAATTCTTATTTCTGCAGTTCTAATGTAAAACCTCTTGTGTTGATTCCAGGAACATTAATAAAGAGAACTGTTAAAAACATAATAATAGATTAAAAAGTTAATTCCATAATTTATGTTTACTAGACTGACAACTATTTGAAGGAACAGGGCCCAAAATTTACAATATTTGCTTCTTGAAACTATTAGCTACACATTACAGATGAATAAAAACAGCCTATGTTTCAAGAAGTTTCAATAGGGCAAATATGTGCTTTTGAATTATAATCTTTATCTTCTGTTACCATCATTATTAAATATCCTGTCGTATTTTCATTGTCTAGATTAAATTGCCTATATACCCTCAGTTTAGTTCCCAAACTTAAAATAACATTTTCATAATCTTTCATGTGCATTAGAGCATTAAAAGAAATCAGCTAAATAAGTGATGAATTTAGCAGGAGGTGGTTTAGAGTGGCAACATAGTCTCAGATGACAAAAATAAATTTTGTACTTATAGAATAAAAAAACCTCGATCCGGTAAAATTTTAATTTTAAAATTTCAAGATTTTACATGTAAACATTATTTAATTCAGTCATTTAAAAATAAGGACAACAATGGATTTCTTCACGTTCATTAGTATAAGCACCTTCATTCAATGACAGCATGTTTTCCCACACAGACATCCCATCCATAAAGTGCATGCCCTTTAACTGTTTTAAAGAAGGCACGACTATTCTTTATTATCAAAGAAAATATTAAATACCCAAAATAGGATAAAACAAAATAGTTTTGCCATCAGACTTTGTAAATTGAAATTAATCAAAAACAAAATGTGTGAGATTAAAATTATTACTGAAACAAGCTTGATTCATCTTGTAACAAATATCAAAATGATTACAAAGGAAAAGAACTTATTAGGAGGTAGAGTAACTGAAGTAACACAAGGTTACAAAATTAGCGTACTTTAAAAGAAATTGTTAGATAAGTTTCTTCTTTATAAAGAGTAGATTCAGTTGGCATTTGCTCAATAACTTACATTGTTTCAATACCGATCTTAGTGGACAGAACACCTGTAAAACCAAAAACCACCAGGAAGTTTCCACCCTCACTGGTAATCAATACAAAAGTACCGAGAGAACAATTTAATCTTTAGAGGGGGATCCCTTCAGATATGGATTGAAGTATGCAATTAATGTGGGAAGCTGGCATTTAAGAAAAAGGTAAAAAACAGATTTCTATATTAAAAAATAGAATAACCTCAACTCATAAAAGAGTATATGTCCATAACAGGTTGAAAATGTTTGGGACTAATAATGAACAAGATGTTCAATCTGAATGAGCTAGAGAGAACAGTAGTAAGACATGATACTTTATGACTGATGACCTAAATTCTAGAACACTGTGGATTATACCCAAGTGTACCCTGATTATCAGCAGTCTAAAGATCTAACTGTATGAATGACTACATAGAAATTATTTCAAATTAGTAAGGATCCTTACTAGGACTCTGGTTTCCTGCAAGTAACAAAGTTATATGGGAAATACTGTCACATAACAAATGTCATACTTGTCCAAATTCCACACTTTGACAGTTAGATGTAGATTATAGTCTTTTGAGAAAGCAAAAGATCCTGGAAATGGTAGTCTTGTTAAATTCAAATAAAGAACCAACCCAATCAAAGCATAGGAATTTGGTTATTTTCTGCTTGAGAGACTCTAAAAGGGTGAAAATCCAAGTAATAAGACACCCAACCACCACTGTTAGGAGGAGCTAAGAGAAGAAACTTACTCTGTGCCCAGCCTTAGTGGAATGAAGAAGTTGATTGCAGACAGGGGAATGAAAAAAAAAGGGTGAAACATGACCAATGTTAAAAGAAAGCAACGAAAAGAAACAAACCAAAAAAAGAACAACAAAAAACTCATATCAAATGAAAATGCAAACAATTGTTAATGATTCTGAGTGTTATGAAAGAAAATGTTAAAAATCAGCTTTGCTCATAAATCAAAAGAACCATTGGGTGTATTTTTAAACATGACACGCATACACACACGCACACCCACTTGAAAATATTTTTGCTCATTTTCTTTTACTTTTCCTAATCTTATTCTTCACATCGACTCTCATCCCCTTTTGCTGACTGTTCTATTTAGAATTTTATAAGATAATTTTGAAAATTCAGCAGTAATAGCTTCAATGAAAGCTAACATTTTCTGGATTCTTAAAGCCTAATTATTCTTCAGGTATATAGATTTTATCTTATGTTCAAAATTCTAGTTGTAAAATTATGCTACAGTTATGTCATTTTGTATAGATCTCACAGCACTAGGAATACATTATCAAGTAGTGAAGTCACCGACTAAAGATGACAAAAACCAATACATTTCTCCGGATAAAACTGGATCATCACTACACCTGAATTTGCTGCCTGTAGACTCTGGGTACTACGGAGTGTTGAACGTTTCTAGTCTCCTTTGCCAAATAAAATGCTTTTAATAATAAAAGAATTGGCTAATGCTAAATTTTGCCCAATTCTATTTGATATGAAAGTGATGTTCCAATATAACTACCCTAAAAAAGTGTTCACCTCTCAAAAAGAACTTCAGGAACATTTCAGGAAACTTCATCTTCTCCCAGTTATAACTGTATCAAAATTACTGTAAAATGAATTGCTCTAAACTGGAGTTTGTTTAGAAGCAAAAATCAAAAGTGGACGTAAAGCCTTTTACATTATATAAAGAAGCATATACCATAAATCTTTGTCATGTCTCTAAGTCACCTCGAAGACTATGTTTGTTATAGGATTGAGATAATCTTTAAAATGCAATGAATACTCATCAGAAAGAAAAGTTCCTTTACAGTTAAACTTCATGAACACAAATACCAACATAATCAGAGCTCCTTTTGACACTGTTCTGAACTTTTTAGGGGGTCAAGGGCACCTATGAAAACTGATGACAGCTATGAGCCGTCATCAGTAGCAGCTCCTGAGTTTTTATGTAGGAAGGTCTTAGGTGCAGGAACCTACTGGGTGTGAGAGAGGGATGGGCCGGCCTTGGGGCGGTCCGATGAATGACTAAACGACCCTAACTACCCCTTGGCATCAATACTGGTCCTTCACCCACAAAAACGTACATATTTTCAAAAATTGCTAACCAATTTCAAGGAGTTCACGGACCACTGAGGAATCTCACTCTAAAGGGTCGCAGCACCCTAAATAAACAAGTAGTTCCAGTAATTCGAAGAGCCAAACGCAGTCCTTTGAGAGCACACTACGCACTGCAATGGCAGCTGCACGTTATTTCAGCGGCGAAAAAGATGTTTTTTGACCCCTTTCCTTAGATGGCAAACTAACATGGGTAAAAGAATTCTGCTCGCCGCTTCCCGTTTTGCACCTGAGAAGCCAGCTTTCGCCACATGGGGTGTACACCCAACCTAGGAAGGTGCTTTTTTCGGGGAAGAAGTAGGGAAACATCTGAAAACGGAGTCCCAGAGCCCCTTCCTCGGAGACACTCTAAGCACAGGCCCAAAGGCCTTTCCCCACTCGGGCGTGCCCGTCTCGTGACAGGACTGGCAGCTGAGAGGGGCCCTTTTCCTCCTCGGACGTCCTCTGGGGCGGGGATGCAAGGCCAGCGCCCGCTGCTTCCAGAGGTGGCCGCTCCCTTCCCTCCCTTGCCTTTCTCCTGGGCCTTCCCCAGGCCTGGGCCGCGTCCACCCAGGCCTCTGGGGTAACCCAAGCCCTCTCCCAGACTCCCAGCGGTTCCCTACGACGCAGCACCCCGGCCGAGAAACAGGCCTCAGTCGCCGCAGCTGCCGTTCTCACCATCCTGTCACTGGGCTCCGCTCAGTCACCACAACCGCCGCCGCCCTCTTCCTCAGACTCCTCGGCGACCCGCCCACCTCACTCACAACCAATGAGAAACGAGGTCGACAAGAGACCACCCTACGGAGGCCCGCAGAGGCCCTTCCCCGCCGCAAAGCAAAGCGGCTCTCGGAGATAGAGTGGAAGTGGAGGGGAGGAGTGAGATCTCGAAGCTTCTAAAGGCGCGGGCAACATCCGGGCACCTGGGGCCGGCTAGTTTAGGCGCGCCTTGTCCCCACGGCTGGTTGAGGCCCGCAGCCATGCTGAAGTGCGGGATGAACGGCAGTCAGGTTAAAGGTGGTTTGGCCGTTCTTCCCTTACTGTGAAGAAAAGGGACAGGCTAAGATTCATGGCGGGGGGGTCCCCACCGTCGTCTTACTTCTTCCCCTTTGCGTCTGTACCTAAGGGCGGAGGACACAAAGTCTGGCCACAGCCAACCTCCCTCCCACCCAGGGTACTTTTAGCTTCAGAGAGGCGGATGAAGGCCCGTATGCTTCCGTTTATATGTAATATTTATTTTCATAGTTGTCCATGAAATGAAGTTGCACCATCGGGACAGATTGAGAGCGTGGGCCACCAAATACGGATAATATGGCGTTAGGAGGAGTTGGTGGTGGGGGGGGAAGCTTGGACAGTTAAAGTATTTTAGTGCCATGGGAAAAACATAAACCTGGTTTTTATTTTAAAGTATTTTAGTGCCATGGGAAAAACATAAACCTGGTTTTTAGATCCCACCATTTTTAAATTTATGGCCTGCGACAAGCCACTGAATCACTTCCGGGGTCGGTTTCTTCATCTGTAAGATGAGAAAGATGGCGTCTTTCTCATCATCAATAGGGTTTGTTGTAGGAACGAAATGGAAATGCATGTGAAGAGGTCAATAATCAATGGGAATTTGTAGGGACGATTATTTGTTGTAAATGGTACTTAGACATGTAAATTACTATAGAAAATCTGTATTTAGAAAACCAATGGTTTCCTGCAGACTGTAACCTGAAAATGATTATTGAAAGGTATCTTGTATTGAGGCTGGCTTCCCCTATGTTGAAAACATCTGTGAAACTGTATTAATGAACAGGGAAGGGAAGAGAAAAGCCCCCTACTGTTGCGTGTTCTCAGCGTTCTAGAAAGTGCTGCTTTGCAGTGTATATATTAGTTCTTGGTAAGAAGTTATTTGTATGATTGTTTAATTTTGTTTTTCCTCCTGGACTGTAAGCACTATGAGGGCAGGAACTATACCTACCTGTCTTGTTCATCTCTATACCCCCATTGCCTTGGGTTGTACTTGGAGCGTAGAAGGTGCTCAATAAATATTCATTGGATTAATGAAAGGTCTGCATTAGGCAGCTCCAGGAAAAAGTGGTGAATGTGAAGTGGTAAAAAGGGACAAATGCCTCTTTTTTTATTTTTCTGGTCATCGTGTCTTTCTCAGTTTGAGGCCCACACCCCCAACTCACACACTTCTGATTTTTAAGCAGTATGATCCAGATTTTATAATCTGGAATTATTTTTCCTTTTTTCTACTTTTCCATGGATTGATATGGCCATCCATTTTTATTGTAGTGTAATAGTCCATATCTGTTTGCCACATTTTTTACTTATTTATAAGCCATAAGAACATTAAAAGTGTCATACCAGATCAGACCAATATTGCATTCAGCCCTCCTACTGAAAGGGCATTTAAGTGTGTTCCGTGGGAAGATGTGGCATCTTTCATACTACCCTCAAACATCAGAGATACATCTTGAGTGCCTATACTTTCTTTCTAATGACTTGTTTTGACTTTGCCACTAATCAAGTTACTAAAAACTTCAAACCATCCTCTCCATGCTCTGTTTTTACACATTTTTAGGAAGGGGGGATACGTTTATTTAAACCAAGTATCAAAATACATTAGAATGGAAATTGGCTTGCTACAGTAGCTCCATGCAATACTGCAAACATACAGAAAGAATTTTTGTTGCATTTTATCATTT